GGGCTTTTCCAGCGGCCACGTCCCGGGGTGTGCAGGAAACCCCTGAACGAGCCCCAAAACAGCCCCCCTTCCCCCTCGGAGTGCGGCCCCCAGGCTCACCCAAGCCCAAGGGCCAGCTGCACAACAAGGGAAAACTGGGTGCAGAGGAGAGCGTTTGGGGGCAAAACAGGGAAAAAAACAACTTTCCTCTGCCAGTCGCACGCAGCAGCACGGGGGCCGCGGTCAGACCATGAATTTGCTGCTAATGGTGGAGGAACGGGAACCCGAACGGGGCAGCCCCCGGCCGCAAGAGAGGCCCCACAGGGGAGCAAAACGCCTCATCCTCCCCCTTATTTCTCCTTGTTTAGGTGTTATCTGACCTAGTCCTGGATGCAGAAGCGCGAGCCCATCCGGATGGTGACACAGGGCATCACGGAGCCCCAAAGCCACCACTTACCTTCCCAGCTCCGGAGGGACCTGCGGAACGGCTCAGCAGCAGGCCGGGCACGCGCTGAGGAGGAGGAGGAGGAAGCAGAGGAGGGTGCTGAGCCCCGGCCTGCCCCGAGCCGACATCTCTCGCTCTTACTCAAGGCGCTTTCCGCTTGGGGGTTACGTGCAACCGCGTTTCCTGTTTGCTGCTCCGAGGCTCAGGATGGTTAACGCAAGCTCAGAGCATCCCAGCAGAGAGGGAGCAAAGCAGCAAAACCCCCCCAGGCTCCAGGACTGGGAAAACCCCCCTCTGCCCTTTCCAACACACCTGGACCCAACTGCTAAACCGGGCTCAGATGCTGCTTGGAGGGCCCTGCTCGTTAGCACTCCAACCTCCAGGAAGCAGCAGCCAGCCCAGGTGCTGCCACTCCAGGGGTGCAGTTTCAAGCTGGGTCCAGGTGTTTTGGTTACAACCCCTCATCAAGCAAAGCTGGTGCCTGTTGCACTGCACTGAAACTCCCCTGGGATCTGCCACACCTGAGCCCAGAGCAGCCCTTCATCCAGCCCCTGGAATGGGACCTCAGGAGCCTGCAAAGCAAATTCAGTGCCAAACTCCCCTTGTCAAGGGAGCTGCACAAGGAGACCCTGCCCTGGTGGCCACAGTAGCCATAGGGCAAACAGGGGCTGCTCAGTCACCCCAGCACCCAGTCACCCCACACCCTCGCCATCCCTCTAGGGACCCCCATGCTCCGCAGCCCTGCAGGGACCCAGAGCAGGATCCCTTCCCTCCTCCCCACGCTGCCCTTAACCCAGTGACACACATTCCCAGACACAAGCGCAGTGTTTATTCAGAGCTACATTCGCAGACAACAAGATACATCCCCCAACCCCATTAGACTTAACGGCATCTTTATAAATAAACATTTAGTGCTGGGAACGTGCCAGCTTCCCTGGCAGCAAAGTGCATCTCGGTGCAAGGCGGGAACACAGCCCTGTCCCCCGGCCTGGGGGCATCTTGCACCACTTTCCAGAGTCCAAACACAGGAGATGAACCCCAAGCACCAGGATCCATCAGTATCGACCCATCCGCCGTGGCCGGAGCAGACGACCGGCTGAGTGTCAGCATTGACCACGGCAGGAGCAGGAGACCATGAGCACCATCCAGCAAGCGGGCGGGAAGGCAAGAAGGGGCTTTATGGGCATCAGCGGGGACTTCAGGGGAGCACAAAGCTCCCTGGGCAGTGGTGGCCCTGACCATAGTGCTGCTTGGAGCTCAGCGCCAGCCGCACTCTGGAGCTCCAGGGTCCTTGCAAGGAGGGGACAGGGCAAGGGGGACATGTCCTTGCTGGGGCAAGCCCATGTCTGGTCACCTCATCCCTGCCTTGGCAGGGGTGAGAGCCAGGAGAGCTCAGTGTGAGTCACAGGGGCCTCACTTGGTCACTGCCCTGCAGCCCACGATAGGATCAGTGAGTCACCTGGAGGAAGGGCTGGCCAGGGACCAGCATTTCCTTCCCTCAGAAGTACCGGGGAGAGGAACAACCCACCTTGCGTCACTCCCGAGCAGAGCCACAGCCCCATCCAACGCTCTGCACCAGGGGGTGCTCAAGCTGGGGCCACCAGGATCCAAACCGAGTGGCCAACCCAAAGGCTGGGGACCTTCTCCAGGGACAGAGCGTTCTCCATGCCAACCTCTAGGCAGGACCAGGACTAGAGCTGGGCAGGGAGGTGGCGCCAGGACAGTGCTTGGTCCTGCCAGCACTGGGCAGAGGATGCAGGTCCTCATCTCGGAACAGCCTCTCAGTCCTACTCCAAGGGGCTACAAGCTTCAACACCAGCTACTCCACACACATTGCACACAAGTGAGGGTCTCTGCAGACCCAGGACTACTCATAAATAGGGAACTACGGACTCTACATCGCTTCACATGCAGCTTAATGTTGTCCAAAGCTGAGGAAAGAGCCACAGGCACCATCAGGGCATCACGGCACCAGGAGCTGCAAAGGGTTCCTCATGGCAGCACCCTCAGCTCTCACCAACAGAGCCAAGGTCATGGTTTGGGCTTGTCAGGAATGATTCTCCTCTTGGAGTTGTAGAAATCTGGAGGGCAGAAAAAGCAGGTTGGAAATTGCCTCCAGCTGGTCTGAAGCAGCAGGGCAGGAAGGAGGGGACTCCCCAGAGCAGTAGCCCAAATCCTGGCCAAGGTTTGGGGCAATTGGGCTTCCTGTGGGAGGCACCCACCAGCCATGGGACAGGTTCTTCTGCTAGGAAGACACTTCTCCCCACATCTCTCCATGCCCAGAAGGCATCCAGGGAACCTCCATCCCTCCCTGCCACAGGAGTCAGGGCCACCAGCCATGGTCATGGTGACCATCTCACCCTGGGAGAGGCGAGGGCCGGCACAGGGACACCAAGGCCCCAGCACTCACCCGTGACGGTCGTCTGTCTGCGTTTCAAGCGCTGTGGGGAGCCGGCAGCCCGAGGCTCCGAGTCCTGCGGAGGTGCCTCGGAGCAGATGCCGCTGGGACGGTCCTTGGCGGGTACCTTGTGGACCAAGGAGCAGCTCCGGCTCTCGCTGCCGTTGGCCTTGGCCAGGCCGTGCAGCTGCTGTTCAGCAAGGAGGACCCTCTCCCACTTGAAGCGCCCTTCCAAGGGCGTATCCGTCTCAAAGTCGAAGTTCCAGCGGCGCTGGGCTTCTTCCAGCTGCTGCCTCAGCAGGTCCTGGAAGTCGCTTTGGAGCTGCTGGTGGTCCACGGGGCCAAAGAGGTTCCTGCACACCTTGCTGCTGCAGGGCAGCCGCTGGCCAGGCCTGCTCTGGGACAGGGGCATCGCGGTGGCTGTGGGGACAAAAGCAGGACTGGTTACGGGTGTCTCACAAACCTTGAGGGCCACCACAGTTGCCACCAAAGCAAAAGAGAGCAGCTGTAGCTGGGCAAAGCTCAGTCCTGCAGCAAAGCAAGCTGAGGGGACAGTACGGCCCGAGATGGTGACATTCAGCATTCCAGGGGGGTCTTGAGCACAACCGAGGTCAGAGCCAGCCCAGGTGCAGCTCAAGAGGACAGGAAGGTGCAGACACCACCCACGCCTGCTCCTCCTGCAGGAGGGCTCTCCACCTCCGGTGTTCTCAGTGCGCTGCCCTCAAGGCAAAACATGGGGCTTCAGCTTCCCACCTCGGCATGGGCAAGTGCAGCAACAGGGTGTTTTTCTGGCCATTTCTTAATGGCGAGGAGCCCGGCGGGGTGACGCGGAAACGCTTTGAGCAAGCGGCGAGAAGGAGCTGCAAGCCCGGCTGCCCTCCCCAGCCGCCCCCCAGCTCCCTCAGGAAGCCCTTGGGTAACCAGGGACGAGCCCAGAGCCCCCATTCAGCTCTTGACCTTCTCGAATTAGGGATTCTGCCCCCCATGCCCCTGCTCACACACACTGGGGCATTAATCCCTTAGCTCCAGGCAGCGTCAACCTACTGCACCCAGCCCGAATCCAGCACTGCAGCCCCTTTTGGAGCAGCCACCCCTGGGGAGACCCCAGTCCCACACAAGGCCACCCCTGAGTCCCCATCCGGCCTCAATCTGGGGCAGAACATCTCCGAGTATAAATAGAAACGCAGCCTCCAATCTCGCTCCCGGGTGACCTCAGCACCAGGCAAGTCCCGGCATGTCCGGACAAGCCCCGGCAGGTTGCAGCCGGGACGCGGCTCGACACCCAGCCCAGGCACCCACGGACCCGGCAGCGGCCACCGGACCCCCAGCTCCCACCAGGCCCCACATCCCACCCTGACTCACAGGGCTGGAATCAGTGATGGAGCTGCCAAGCCTGGAAGGACAGGACGGACACAACCCCCTCCCACAGCGTCAGCTCTGTCACCTTTCCCGACACAGGAGCTTCTGCCAGGAGAATCCCAGGCTCAGGGCAAGCAGGTGACACCAGTTGGTGCTTGCATTAAAGAGCTGCCCCCAGCCAGACTTGAGATCAAGGTGCTGCTGGGGGAGCCAAAAGACACTCGCTAACCCCTCCGGCAGCACCTGCGGGACACCAGGACCTGCCTCTTTACCAGTTCCACCTGTTTGGGGGAGCAGCAGAGGCCAGAGCACCCATGGGAGCTCCCTACGGCACTGCCACCCCCACAGCTGCCTGCCCACAGTGCAGAGACCGCCCCACTCGTGACACTGGTGAGCCCAGCGGGTGCCCGGAAAAAGGGGCCGTTGGGGAGCGCGGATCACGGCGAGGGGGAGAGCGCCCGTTTCTCC